GTGTGGCTGGGTTGTGGGGGGGGGGTGGCGCTAATGCAGCCACCACATCAAAGGGCTGGTAAGCTGCAATATAGCACACTTTTCTTTTTGGGTTTAGATGTGCTTTAAATATAAGGTATGATGTCATCAAAGGAAAAACATTTAGACAATGATGATGGTGTCCAGGAAAAAATTCTGAATACTTCCATGTGGCGTTCCCAAGGGCCGAGTCACACCTGAACAATTTGAAGTGCTTCTATTACATTCCGTGGTGCCCGTTCACTCCTGAGCAGTGTTGCTTGAAGCTCGAACGCTCAAAAAAAAAGTACAAGCTGCTTTTGGGGCAGAGTCGCACATTTGAGCCCCAATGAACTTAACACATTTTTTTGCATTTCTTCTCTAATAACCATCTTTCCATTGGCAAAAAAACCCAACCATAACCTGAAACACGTGCAAAAGCTTCTGTACAGAACACTGAAGGAATACCAAAGATGCTCAGCTCGATTCATGAAGGAAAACCAAAGACGCTTAGCTCAAGTGTGAATGAGTCCTAATCTAATAAGCAATGAATGTTTTTCAAACTCTATGGCCTCAGTAGCTCTGAAAACCATGTCAAATTGGTTAACAGAAGCATTTTCCTTTAAAGTTTAAGTCAGACCTATGACTAGTCATAAACGGCACAAAAGTGATGCTCAATTAAAGATCTGCCTTTTTAGGGGTTCCTCTAGGTGTCAAAAGCAAACCCCACTAATATCAGAAGCACTCATTTTATCACGGACGGAGGTGTTCCAGTTTGTTGGGATGGCTCCATGCAATGTGACCTATGCTTTCTTTCTAAGTTAATTGCACCCGTTCTGTTTGATTCCCTCAGACGAGGGACAATCACTGGTCCTGACATAACGGACAGGCAGATTGACTCCCAGCTTACTGTACTCATCTGCCAATATGGCCACCCTTAAATCAAACCTTTCAGCTGTTGTATTTTAAAAATAAAATGTCTTATGCAAGCCATACTCATGGAGTGGATTGTTCACAGGCAGTAAGCCTGCACAGTGCCATGCTTACCTTTTAATTCATGAAAGATCCTTCCATTACGGCTTATAGGCCAGTACTCATTGGGTCCGTCTTGGTGTTTTTTCCATGTATAGATGGTCAGAATATTTTTGAACCACGTGGCCAATTTGCCTTGTTCCCACACTGTACATTGTGGGGCGGTTGCAGTTATCCTTGGGTAGTATGTTTTGTCACCATGTATGGCCACCTTGTCGTTTAGATTTTTCCTTTATGCGTAAGTGGGAGTCGCTCTCGAATCTCATGGAGTGCAGGCATAGATGATCTCTACATACAATATCACAGCAGTAAAACAGGAGAGGGTGCCCGGAGTGTGGCTTTTTGTCTACGTAAATGTGGTCTGCAATAGCTTCCAGCAGTTTGACCAGCTGTTAGTGCAGCAAGCCTTGTGATGGCATTGTGAATTATTTAGGCTATCAAGGCTACTCATGCATTTCTAATGCAGTCTACTGCAGAGCTCAGCAGACAGTGTGTTAATGTCTTAACCTTTTCAGGCCTTGCCAAGCTAACCCGCTTCCTTATTGTTTTTTCAAGGTGTCCTTGCTGGTCATGATAACCGTGTAAGTTGCTTGGGAGTGACAGATGATGGGATGGCTGTGGCGACAGGGTCATGGGACAGCTTCCTCAAGATCTGGAACTAAAGTATGTGAGTATCAACTACAGCCGTCCACCTCATCGCAGTATTAATCTGCTGTGACATGTTTACTTCCTTCCAACAAGTGGAGTTAGATGTTTAGTAAACAGCACACATTTCTCTAAACTCCTCTCCGATTCCTGGCAAACGTCATTTATCATGAAACCCTTCTTTGTCAGCCTTTATAAATAGTGGCGGCTATGGAGAAGAGCCAGCATCTAACAAATGTTAATCCAGAATAGATTTGCTTATGATTCCACAATGTATACAGTATAATAAAAGCACAAACAATGTGATGGAAGCCATGACTGCTGGGCTTCGTCCTTGACTAGAACACAGAACCAGTTGATACCATTACAGCTTGTATGTGGCCGGGACTGCCTAGGATGTGGGACCTCTGCCTGAGACACTCCCTACTTACTGTATAGTTTATAACTCCACCTTGTAGAAAAGCATTTCTGGATTGCACATCTGCTTCAAAGCAGTATTTTTTTATTCCCTCTGATGAGATCCATTTTTAGTTTACATCTGAGATCTGTCAGCACGATACACAGGGTTAATTATGGTAAATAGGGATGCACCGATACTAGTATCGGTATCAGTGCCAAGTATTTGGGGAGGTACTCGTACTCTCCCCAAATGCCCCTATTGCCTAGCCCGATACTTCTGGTATCAGGAAACCGAGCAGCGCGTCATTACACGTGACGAGAGAGCATGGAGCCGGGAAGCTGGGCGCTGTGTAATGACGCGGCGCCCGGCTTTCTGATTGGTCGGGAAGCCTGCTTCATGCCCCCTCGTCACCTCATGACAAGGGAACGTGGAGCCGACTTCCCGGCCAATCAGGAAGCCGGGCGTCGCGTCATGACACAGGTCCCAGCTTCCGGATTGGCCAGAAAGCCAGCTCCATGCTTTCTCGTCACCTAGTGAACAGAAGCATGGGGATGGCTTCCCCGCTAATCAGGAAGCCAAATTAAAGAGGACCTGTCACATATTTTGCTATCACATAGGGGGGTTTTTGTTAGCCCCCGTATGTGATTGCGATAAAGTTTAGTGGAAAGAAAAAAAAATTTAAGCCCCCCCCCCAAAAAAAAATTTAAGTTACAAAATAAATAATTATAGAAAAAAAAAATGTGCGCTTCATGACGGAATAAACGTCAGTCAAAGTATCGCAGCGCTGAATACTGAAAAATGGCCTGGCCAGGAAGGGGGTCTAAACACCTGGTCTTGAAGTGGTTAAAAGGCGTGCTTTGTAAATGAAAACTTGGAACAAATATCAACTTTATATCACAATTTGTCTTCAGAAGTGGAGCTACACTTTAAGACTAAAATCTGTCAAGGCATATAGCATACTCACCTGATACCATGACACCTTATCCATGTTTGTTTTGGTCATTGATTCCCCATGTAGTAAAGGAAGCATAAAGGACATTTTCAAAAACCATTCAGCAATGGCAGCTCCCATTATATTTTCCAACTAGTTTCTTCTAAGCATCAGGTGAACACCCCAAAAGTTTTGTATTAAATTCTGTAACACCCCCCCAAAGTTCACTAAAAATAAAAAATTGTATAACATTTATATAACCAGCATGCAGAGATTCCATATAAATCCCCCAAATTTTCCTTTTTAAAATTGAAATTCCACTTCCCCTAGAATCATCTTTTACACGGTCTCTGCCAGCTGGTCTTGGCAGAACAAGCTATTCAGTGTATCTACCGAAGCAGTGATGCTCTTCATTGGAAGACCATATTACTTGTGCCTTGCTATCAGAGGGGTGTGGAATGTCCTTTTTGGGGGGGGGAAAAGATGTATAGTTCAATTTCTTTTTTCCCCTGTTCATTGGTTGATCCGATATATATTGTATATTATGGTAGTTACTGTGAATCTTGGGTTTCTTAGTGCTGTTGTCTCAAAAGTATACTGATTAATAGGAGGACTCCCCTCACTGACTTCTTGGTCTGCAAAAGCAAGAAAACGAATGCTGGGAGTTCAGGAGTTTATTGGAATTCCCAGCAAGCTTTGTAAATGAGTTGTCATGGATATGTTTAAAGATTGTACTTGGATACATGTGAATGAAATTAGAAGCCATTTTAGTTTACCTTCTAATATATATTTTTTTTTTCCCTCACCCTCTAGATACCCAGCGGACTTCTCCATGACTGGAAGAGCATTCCAACCTTCGAAATTTTAAATCATAGCATATCCGATCCAACCATACTAACGTGGACACCCACTATCCCTACTCCCATACATCAAAGGGCAGAAACTCTCCTCTCATTATTTTTTTTCTGAAACCAAGAGCACAATTATTTGCTATAGGAAGAATTGTTTTGTGGTTCTGAAACCAAGATTGTGCATTCCTTTTGGGACCATTTTTTTTCCTCCTCCCTATTTCTTCAACCCTTTCTTCACCTTCATTTGTCTTGAAATAATGATACAAAACACTATGCGCAGTACAACATAACCGAGAAGTAGCTGTATTGATTCATAAAGTCCATTTCATGATTGTTAACCTGAAGGTTCTAGAACAGTGTGTCTGGTTTTGCTTTTTCTTTTTTCTTCTTCTTTGTAAGTTGGATGTTTATGGCAGTTGCTGTAAGAACTGCAGCAGTACCGGGATTGTAAAAAAATCAGAACAGTTAAAACTTTTTTGTTTTCTTTTGGTTTTTTTTTTCTCTGTACCCCCCTCTGGTCCATTAAGTGAAGGTGGAATGTGATAGAGCTGTGTGTCAGGGCCTTTTTAATTCTATAAACTGTCCCTGTCTTGTCTTGTGAATCTGTTGCAGATACAGAACCGTGTGAACATTAAAGAAGCGTATTAGCCATCCACGAGCCCTCCATGTAATGGTCATCCTATAGTACGAGGAAAAAAAGCTGACGCCTTACTAGGTTGCTCCAGTAATTGCGTTACTTTTGAGCACCGACTGCTCGGGGGGAAACAAAACGTAGTAACCCAATGCCTGGAGTGCCTTTCGGTAACCTCTGTCATCTGAGAGCTATGGCTGTTGGGGGAACAATGCAACAGATGCCACTTGGGAGCGTTGGAAGGACTTTTGTCAAACAATGTACAGTTCTTTAAACCACCGACACCAGTGAACTGTCTTCTGATCTCTATGAATGCATCTACACCACGCCACCTTCTCCTGCACACAACAAATACACACCACAATATTAGAACTCCTTCAGGGATCGAGAGCATGCTAGATTGTAGAGCAATGTCCAGTTCAGCCTTAGCTATTGAGGGTAACCCATACGTAACTTTTGCTCTTGGGGAGGGGGGGGGGGGCATTTTTCCATGCCCAGACTGGCAGCATTCATTTTTATCCTATACCGGTTGGTACTGCACGCTCCTATTTGAGCGACATGTACTGCTAGATAGGGATCTAGTTGACTTGCTGGTGATGTATACTATTGCCAGTTAGGATTAATTTTTTTTTTTTTTTTTGTCCTTCACCGTTCAACCCATGTCAAATCCTTTATTCATGTAGGCCTGAAACATTAAAACTTGAGTCCCCTTGTAAGTTCAGTTAACACTGGGAAGCTATTTACCATATAAGAAAAACAAAAAAAAGGGTATCCCACGAGAACACTACCCTGGTCCCATATAGATAGATTAGGAGCAGCCGTGGACGGAAGTACATGTCTGTACTCTTTGGATATACAGTCAGATGTGTATGAAATGATGTACAAATTAATGTTTTTTGAAAATAATGATCTTGAACTTTCTAAGTTAAAACTTAATGAAAGCTTTTATTCTTATGTTGGCGGCGGGGGAGGGTGGGGGGTGTTTGCCATAGGGATGGGTTTTCCTCTTAAGATTGCATGCTGTAGAGTTGCTTAATAATGTGCAAATAGAGAGTCATTAGATGTTTTTGTTTCTTTTTTGTTTTGTTTTTTTCTCCTTTTAATGAAAAAAATAACCTGTTTAAACAGAAAAAAAATGAATGCGGTTGTGCTCATTTTTTTTTTTATAATCACAGCTACTCTCTGTATACGTTTTCAAGAAAAAGTTCAGTGCAAAAAAAAAATATGAGCACTTTGAAGAGTAGCTCGATTTCACTTTTTTTAACAAAAAAAACATCCTGTTCAAACGATTGCATACAAAAACAAAAAAATCGATTTTTCAGGAAGGGTTGGGAAATGTGAAATTAAACTTTGACCCCGGTTTAAGTTGATGCTTCTCAGCCTGTTCTTGTAGAAAGAGGATCTTGCATCTGATTTTTGTTCTTCCAGGAATAGCTTCCCCTTGCTAATTTTTTATTTTTTCCCCCCTCCGGGTTTTTTTTTCTCTTTTGAATTACGCATTGCCACTTGACTTTTTTGCAGAGACCTGTAAACCGATACACAGGAACGCACCCTTCTGTTCCGCAGGTCTTTGTATGAAGGGAGAAGCGGAATATTAATTTTATTAGCTTCTTCCTAATTGTATATGAACGTTACTCAACCTTAGCCGTAGACGCTTTTTTTATTTTACATTTTTTTTTCTTCTGTACAAAAAAAAAGTGCTGTAATTGTGCGTTAGGCCGGGAACTGGCAGAGAACGAGATGCCCCGCCCACTTCTTGCATAAATTACTCTGTAGAGCTCTCTGCACCCCCTACTCCCTTTCACCTTTTGTATTTAATTTTAAAGTCAGTGTACTACAAGAACGCTGGATGCAAGATAGATACTATATTAAAATGTACTGTTATTTAAGATGTAATAAAGCAGTTTGACATGAGTTTATTCCTTGTCATGGTGTCTATTATTCAGTCACATGGATTTAAAGTATATGTCCAGGCATTACCCAAATCTCACCCCCAAACTTCTCTCCCCCTCTAGAGAATGTCCCAGCTTTATTTTTCTTTCACCTTATTCCTGTAGCAAGAAACTTTTATTTTTATTTTTCCTGCTCCGATACATCCTCCCCCAGGCCTTCTGGGAGCTTAGTTGTATTCGCATAGGCATGCCCCCAGAACTACATCTCCAAGAGCTCTTTCCTTGAGTCAAGGCAGCAACCTTGTTTTGCTTGGAAATAAATCAATGTATGCATGTATAGAAGGGTGGGGGATAGGTGCTGACAATGCTCAGGAGTTTTGAACATCAAAGGCAGTGATGTCATCCAAAACAGGAATTTGCACACTGGTTTTTGGTAGGCATAAAGGCATTTTTCTGTGCTTGCAACATTTTAAAGGAATCATGGGGAAGTGTGCATGTATTGCAGGGGTAGGCAAACTCCCGCTCTCCAGCTCTGCTGCAACTACAAGCCTCATGAAGCATTGCAAGACACTGATGGCCACAGGCATGACTGCGACAGGCAGATGCTTGATGGAATTTTCAGATTCAGCACAGCTTGGAGGTCTGGAGTTTGTCTACCCCTGATGCATTGGAAAGATGTACTGATTTTTTTTTTGCCCATGCATACTCAAAGGTACACCACCTCCACACATCTTTGCCCTAAGACTTGACAAAGAGGTTGTGCCTCGAAACGCGTAGTCATCACGATATAGCGAGCCTGTCTGTGCACAGCGTCCACCCACTCAGACGCCCTGTCGATACTTTGCCTACTGATCTGACTCCACTATACACGCACCGAACACAGCCGCTCGCGGTCCCGGTTCCACAACCGCCGCGGTCCTTCCCCCCTTAGCCGCCGTGGCCCGGCCTGGCCAGCCGTGCACGCGTGCCGCTAGGAAACTTCACAGCACCCCCTCATCCATCCACTGCTGCAGTATTCGGCTTTGGACTTCCTCTGTACACCGGTCATTGGTTCAACACATTTGGGGACTTCCAACTGTAAGTTACACATATTTGGTCTTTCCCTGTCAGTGAGAGCCTGCACACCATAATTCACAGCCCGGGATTTTTCCAGTGACTAAGTATCAGTTGTGCGCTTATGGTTTTTTGTTCTACTGGCACAGTGCAGAACAAGGCACCAAGCTGGCTGCCTCCACACAGGTACAGTGCAGAACAAGGCACCAAGCTGGCTGCCTCCACACAGGTACAGTGCAGAACAAGGCACCAAGCTGGCTGCCTCCACACAGGTACAGTGCAGAACAAGGCACCAAGCTGGCTGCCTCCACACAGGTACAGTGCAGAACAAGGCACCAAGCTGGCTGCCTCCACACAGGTACAGTGCAGAACAAGGCACCAAGCTGGCTGCCTCCACACAGGTACAGTGCAGAACAAGGCACCAAGCTGGCTGCCTCCACACAGGTACAGTGCAGAACAAGGCACCAAGCTGGCTGCCTCCACACAGGTACAGTGCAGAACAAGGCACCAAGCTGGCTGCCTCCACACAGGTACAGTGCAGAACAAGGCACCAAGCTGGCTGCCTCCACACAGGTACAGTGCAGAACAAGGCACCAAGCTGGCTGCCTCCACACAGGTACAGTGCAGAACAAGGCACCAAGCTGGCTGCCTCCACACAGGTACAGTGCAGAACAAGGCACCAAGCTGGCTGCCTCCACACAGGTACAGTGCAGAACAAGGCACCAAGCTGGCTGCCTCCACACAGGTACAGTGCAGAACAAGGCACCAAGCTGGCTGCCTCCACACAGGTACAGTGCAGAACAAGGCACCAAGCTGGCTGCCTCCACACAGGTACAGTGCAGAACAAGGCACCAAGCTGGCTGCCTCCACACAGGTACAGTGCAGAACAAGGCACCAAGCTGGCCGCCTCCACACTGGCACAGTGCAGAACAAAGCATTGGTAAGTCAGTAATGGGCAAAGATCAGCTGCTGGGCGACAACAGGCAATGCTGGTGACTGGTCCTTTGTCCTCTGCTTTGTTTTTTTATGGGCAGAGCTATCACAGTTGAGTTCCTCTTTTAGTAATTCAATTTTCTTATCAATTGCAGTCTCAATGTTTCCCTGAACAACATTTTCCTAAATGCAAATATGTTCTCTGTAATAATGCCAGTCTGTTTTTAATGCATCAGTGTTTTTGTTTAAAACTCTGGTCTTATGAAAAAGCCGGATATAGCTGGAAGCCATATATATATAAAAAATGTATTGTCCATACCATTAAAAGGAGCAGGTTGTACGCAGTCCAGTATAACGGTTATCATATTCTTAGGATGATGCAGCTTTTGTTGAAACGTTTTGTTATCCTTAATACCTGAGTCTAACCCGACACAAGTACATACAGCAGTTCAGAATCCACCAGCTCCAGGTCGGTAAGGGCTTGCTTTTTAACCCATAGTACTCAACTGGTGGGTCGTGACCCGTCATGTTCAGTGTGTCACCACGTACCTACCGCTGTGCTAGGTGAGAGGCTCCTTTGGGTCCCCCTAGCACAGCACTGTCAGCTCCCGCGCTGAGCTGCCAATCAAAATATGCTGCCGAGTGTCAGCTTGAGGTGGGGCGGCCTGAGAAATTACAAAGAAATGAAAGGTCTATCATTTTTATCATAGGTGTATTTTTTAATGATAGGGACAGAATATCAACCAAAAATCCAAACACAGCACATGATACAAATGTTATAAATTGAGTTGCAGTTCAGTGAGTAAAATAAGTATTTGATCCCCTACCAACCCACAATAATTCTGGCTCCTCCCACAGACTGGCTATGGGGTACACAGTGGGCAAATGTACAAAATCTGCAGAGGATCACATATCTATTTTCCTCACTGTATAACCCTCGGGGTGAGGGTAGATTGTACCCTAATTTAAAAAAAAACAATGAAGCCTGGTTTGTCTGCAGTGCACTATTTAACCCGAAATCAAAGTGGAACAATAGACTTGCCGCCTAAGTGGCTGTGTATCTCCAATAGATGCTTGATCGTTCATGAACCTGTGTATTTGCTGAAGTCATATGATAAACTCCTATGATTGTCTTTAAGGTCTGTTGCACACAGGCACCACCAACCATGCAATGTAAATACTGGCCTATTTCCCACCCAGAGAGACACTGTACAGCCTTCCATATGTCAGGGAGTGTAGGCGGGGACATGC